TTTGTAACAAGGGCAACCTATCCTGCTCTTAAGATGGCACATCTTTTATGAGTAAGGCTAAGAAGAAGACACATCTTATACCAGTTTGTGTTTGCTCTTGTCACAAAAAAAAACAGTGCCCCACTTGGGGCAACAGTAAGCACTGGCAATTAATCATGTCTTATCAACAAAGAGAGAAGGCTATGGTCAGAATCATATGCATGTATCAGAACTTTTGTGATGCATTTGAATTAAAAGATACTCCACTGGTGTAGTGGGTAGAATATTTACATTCAAATAGACACATATATCAATTACAAGTCCATCATTGACAATGATTGTTGCAATTATTACTGGTCAAAACTTAAAAACCAAACTGTTGACTATAATAAAAACTGACATAACATGATTTAAAAACCAAAAAAATGCCTCATAAATAACACCATTAACATGCTTGTAATAAATTAGTTGTGTGGAATAACTGGAAGGACCTCTTCAAGAAAACAAATAGGGATAACAGTAAATAAAACTGGTTTTAATCAAGTAGATTCCCTTTGGAATCTGCAAGGGCTGGCTGGTTTTCTGTGTGAGTAATTAAAATTATTATTATTATATATTTATAGCAATTAAGTAAGGGAACTCGGAATAAACTAACACACATTAGTACAGCTTTTTTCCTCTTAGTTTTCAAGGGACAATTTATGACAAGACAATCTGCATCTTACATGTCAGCAATTAAACTTACCTAACAACTGCTTTGGGGGATTACGTTTGTCAGTAAATTCATCTGCTTCTTGGAGAAATTGTTTCCAAAGCATTCAAAAGCCTAAATTTTGATAAACACCATAAGTTTACACATCATGATGTGATAGAGGATTTATCATGCTAAATTTAATTTGAAAATTGAATGGTATATCCACAATGAAACTTTTTTCTATGCATTTGTTACAAAACATAGTACTTTTTCTATGCAAAAGTTACAAACATTGTGAAACGCTATTGTTTTCTTCTAACAAAGGACTGTATGCATAATGAAGTATGGGGCTGTGCGGAACTTTGCCGAAAATTTTAATACCTTCTTTTGATGTCTTCCTCTAGATTGTCGGATTCACCAGCGAAGATGGGAAAAACCAATGCAAAGCCGACACTTCAAAATGGCGGATGCCGTTCACGAACTACGCGATCTTGATTCCAAGTAACTATGGTTACTCGAGCAGTCCACGCGAATTCCGCGAACCTTGCTGGGGGGCACTGGAAGCGAAAATCATTTTTGACCTAGGCCTTAATTAACCTGAGAAGTGTACGCACAGCTAAAGGACAGAGAGTCGTATCACTAACGGCAATACTTGGGAGAAGTAAGTTTCATGCGACAGCAGTTATTTTGAATACAACAACCTATGATTTGATGCAGTGTAGGGCAAAAAAACTGGACGCTAGTTTGATTTTACTTACTCGTTTTATTATCTTTGTGATACGAAAGTACATGTATAGGATAAAATTGATTCCGAAAGGGTAGTGAAGGAGTGACTTTTAAGTTCTTCTCTTACGGAGGGTGAAATAATTTCAAATTTTTAACCTCGCTGCATGAAATAAAGCGTATGACTTTGACTCGATATTGCCGTACGAACCGTTCAAAGTAAGTCTTGTTAAAGACAAGAAATCGTAATTTTGAGCGCAAAAGTCCATAATGCTTATCAATGTGTGATGATACTTCTACAAATTGTAAATAACTAGTAAGTAAGCGAATGAGAAACAGTTTAACGTTACAGGCTCTTAGTGAGAGAATTCTCTTAAATATTTTGTTGCTTAAAATTCATCATCAAATTACTAATGATGACCAATTAATCATAAAATTACAATGTCCTAAGATATTTCTCTTAAAAAAGTCGTTTGTTTCTCAAAATTTATTATTAATCACCAATTAATCATAAATTTATCATTTCTGGGAAAGAAGAATAACCAAGTTATGAAAAAGATGGAAAATTTGCATTAAAAGACTCACAATTGGTTGATTTAAACTACAACTTTGAATATGATTGGTTGATTTAAACTACAGCTTTGAAGGTGATTGGCTTATTGGGCTGTCCGCTAATAATTTGGCGAGTGAATTAGCGGAAAACAGGAGTTTTTAAAGCCAATCACAATCCAGGAATTAATATAATTTTTATGATTACAAATGATAAGAAAATTTTTGAGTGACAACATCCATCTGATATAGGTGGTGGTCACAAAACCAACTATGGCCTCGATTTTTTGATATAATGGTCAATAATTTCTGGGGAAAAAATGACAAATGTCTCTTTTTTTTAAACTGTCAGTAATACTTTTTTGATATCCACGCTTAAAATGAATTCGATTATTGTTGTCTCTCATAACTTTTTGTTTTGATTAACAGTTTACTCAATGGGTTATATTGATATGAAACTAACGGATAAGTTAGAAGGAAATTTACTGTCAATACTGAAAGTGTTGCAGCAAAATAAATGGCATATTTCATCAAAAATTTAAGGCCGGTTATTTACACAAGGTCTAACCCAAACCGTGGTTTTACGCGAGCAGTGAAAAGCATGTGTTCTCTATAAGAGGGTAGATTAATCATAATAAATGTCCTTCCTATATTAGATCTCGACCTTCTAGATACTATTCACAAAAATGTATGCCAAGATAAATGGTTCAACTAAATTGAAGATGGCTTAGAACGCAGTTTTCTCAAACAACGACTAAACTTTGTTTAAAGAACTGGACCCAAGTGTCAATAGATAAAATCCCAATGAAATATATTAACTTTCGAGATTCTGTAGTTTCTTGTAGTCTTTCCTGAAGCTAGTAAAAAATTCCATTTTTCTGTTTGATGGCAAAATGTTTCGTAGAAGTGGAGAAGACTTATATTTATAGCATTTATTCGAAGATATAGTCGAAATGGTGCCGATGGACTCACTAACTTCTAAGAAGCTCATTGATAACATTGTTTGAACGATGAAAACCCGGAAAGGATTAAAGGCTAAGCTTTTTTGTGCAAATAAAGAGATCATCTAGATCACAGGCGACGAGAAAGGATTGTTATTATTTTGAGGGTGTTTATCATTACCCAACACTAGATTATCGTAACCATTTCTACAAAGAAAGCTGCAGAAACAGCAAAGGAGAATTATACAGGCATTTCCTGATGGTGATCGAACTGAGAAACATGTCACTAAGGTAGAACTAAATATTGACTCGAGATTTCGTTTTTATCAAAAATCCTGACCAGAGAAATATGAAATCAAGGATTTCTAAGCAAACAACAATTTGTGGTGCATAGCATTGATTAAACGTTTTACTCTACCAACATCAAACCTGATTATTGCTGTTTCTCGTAGAGTTCTCTTTTAAGGATCAATCGTTTGTGAAAAACAAACTTTGCAAAATGATCA